AAGTCGGACGCTTAACCGACTGCGCCACCCAGGCGCCCCATCCCACCGTCCTTTTAAACATGTTGCAGCTCCCGCCACACTGGAGCAAAATCAGTTTAAGCACTGGAGGCTGATTTTTTATTTTGCTTGTTCTGGGTTAGCAACTGCTTTGGGCAGAAAGAGGTCCCGCTAAAACTCACACATTGAAGTGTTAACTCTAGTACCTCAGAATGTGACGGATTGAGCCTTTAGGAGGTAATTAAGTTAAAAGGGGGTCATTAAGAATGGGCCCTAATGCAACCTGACTGGTGTCCTTATGAAAAAGGAGTTTAGGGGGCGCCTGGGTGGCTCAGTCAGATGAGCAACCGACTTCGGCTCAGGTCATGATCTCACGGTTCGTGAGTTCAAGTCCCACTATCAGCAAAGTTGTGTGCTGATGGCTCAGAGAGCCTCGAGCCTGCTTCGGGTTCTGTGTCTCCCTCTGTCTCTGCTCCTCCCTGCTTGCACACTCTGTCTTTCTCTCTCTCTCTCTCTCTCTCTCTCTCTCAAAAATAAATAAAACATTAAAAAAATTTTAAAAAGAAAAAGAAAAAGGAGTTTAGGACACAGACAACAGGTCGAGGGAAAGTCCTGTGAGGACACAGTGAGAAGGCAGCCCTCTGCAAGCCAAGGAGAGAGGTCTCAGCAGAAGGCAAACCCGCCCACACCTTGATCTTAGACTATCCAGCCTCTGGAAATGTGAAGAAATCAACCTGTGTGGTTTCGGCCAGCCAGTCTGTGGCGTTTGTTACGGCGGGCCTAGCAAGCTAATGTAGCAACCCTGGAGAAGTCCTGTCCCCTGGCCTGAGGCCGGGGGATCAAGGACTTAGGAGGCCTCTCCCCATTGCTTGTTGGGGGGCTGGAAGAGCCCGAGGATCACTGTTAGCAGATCCCCTGTGTCCACGCCACTGTGGACCCCTCAGGAAGAAACCGAGAAGGTGTGGGGGCTTCTGCGGGCTGCAGAGGGCTGGGAACAGAGGGAGTCACGTTCTGTTCTTAGGAGCCGAGAGCTGCCTATTCCCTCCGGACAAGACCTGCGCAGGCAGCCCCATCATCTCAGCGTGTTGCGTAGTGAGGAAGTCATGTACTCCGTGTCCCCCTAGAAGGTGGCTGGGGAAGTATCTGACCAAGGAGCAGAGATGGGAGCAGCAGGCATCTCTCAGCTAGGTCCCCTCAGATGCAGCCAACAACCAGCCCGCACGGCAGGCTCACGTCGCTGATGTCAACTGATGTGACTTGATATCTTGTTTTCCTATCAACCCCACAAGGAAGATGGGGTGATGCTCAGCTTACAGGGCTGGACCCTGACCCAGGGAGAGACACAACAGCCGTCAAGGTCAGCACGCCGGGGGTGGGGTGGGGGGCAGCAGAGCCAGGACTGGTCCCCCGAGTCCCACCTTCAGGCTCAGGCACCGGCAGACAGTGGAAAGTCCCAGCCTAGTCCATGTGCTCAAACACTTTGAGGAAGAGAAGGGGGAGGGAAGGGGACCTTACACTGAAAGGGAGAGTACAGAGCCCCACATTTTCGCCGAGGCTTTCAAATTCCTCACAACCCTCTTAGCAGAGCAAACAGCAAGGATGAATTTGGACAGGATCTCTTTTCTCCTTTTATTTTCTCATCCCACTTCTTGGGTGGTTCGAGCTACTAAGCAGGAGGGGAGAAGGAAATGCAAGGTGTCTGGGAAGCTTGGAGGCTGCAAATGTTCTTTCCCCATATCTTACCTGAAAAGACAGTCCAGAGAAGCACAACGAAGAGCCCCATGACTGGAAGGAAGTGAACCTTCACCTGGAATGGTAAGATACTGCCCCAGGGTTTCAGGAATCCTGGATCTGTTTAAAGGAAACAGGTATCTTTGAGCTTAAGCCGGTTTGATCCTGTTTGAAGAGACCAGGGCAAAACGACCAGTCGATCCAAGCAGTGCTACTATGGATAGCTATCCAGGTTGTGTACTGCACAAGGGGACCTCATCAGAGGGATGCCGTTCGTGGACATAAACTTACTTTTATAACAATATGGGCAACTGAAAAAAAATCGTGGGCTTCTGGCACCCCCAAAACAGCAACGGAGCGTCCCCTCCTGGATAAATCCACCCTGCTACGACAAAGCCTTATACACACGCAGACCGGCACAGGCACACACATCAGCACGGACACACATTCAGGTGTCCCAACTGTGCCCTGTCCCGCCAGCGGACCGGGTTATTGCCAGAGGACGACACGCTCAGAGGCACGTTCTCGTCTAGTTGAGAGGAAGACCAGTAAGGAAATTACCTCCCCTGACTCCCGCGTGGACCATGAAGCCTCACCCAGGGAGCGGGGTCAGGGGCAAAGCACGAAGCTGTTATGAGCTGTGCCTGGTGTCTGGAGCACGGAGTGGTGTCGGCGTGAGTGTCTGAGTGTCAGCAGGCAGGGCCGCAGCCTCCAGAACTCTTGAGAGCTTGCCGGGCAGAGCTGGGGCAAACGAAGGGTATCTGTCCATGCAGAGGTAGAAGCTTCTCTTGGTTCTTTTGGGGACTCCTGGCCTGACCACTGATTTTGATTTTTATTTATTTTTGAGCAAGCGAGCGAGTGAGCGAGAGAGAGAGCACACACGTGCACTCGAGGCGGAGTGGCAGACAGAGGGATACCAAGGATCTGAAGCGGGCTCTGTGCTGGCAGCGGAGAGCCTGACACAGGGCTCGAACCCATGATCCACGAGATCATGACCTGAGCTGAAGTCAGAGGCGTAACTGACAGAGCCATCCAGGTGCCCCCCGACCAATGACTTTTAGGGTTTGAATTGTGGAACCACCTCCCAGGTGAATTTAGACCGAGCACTACTTATCACACCCCAGAGCCAACACTTCCCATCAATGGCCAGAGGTGGATGAGCGTCCAGGGTGTTCAACCATGTCCTCTTGTGAAGCAGAGGGACCTCTCTCTCATCCACACGAAGTCAGCATGTCGGCCAGCTCTAGGCCGAGTTTCACCTGCACCATGTTGGTTGTGTTACCCATATTGTCTCATTTACTCCTCATCAAACCTCTACGAGTTCAACACACAAACTGCAAGGCGGAGGGGGAAAAAAAAAAAAAGGAAGGAGGAATCTATAGTTTAAAAGGGGCTTAAGAGAAATAATGACAAACTACAATATATGGAACTCATTTGGATCCTGATTGAAGCAAACAGTTGAGAAAAGTCTAGACAGTGGCTCCATAGTTGATGATGCTAAGAAATTATGGTTACGTTGTTTCAGAGGGGATCCTGACATCGTCAAGAACCAGCCTCTCCGATGGCTCCCGGCATTCGTGCTGTTGTTCCCTCTTCAGCCGAATCAGGGCTGGCCTGTGTGATCAAGAAAACCAATGAAAATTAGATAGCAATTGATAATTTGTGTGGTCATAGTTTTTAAAATCAGTATTATTTCTGAGAAAGCTGCGTGCAAATCGTGCACTGGGAATGGCTCGGAGAAAGTGCCGTGAAACCAAAGAAAAGCACCAACAGAAGGAGAAATGGATTGTGCCCAGACGTCAGTGAAGTGCGCAAGTCATGAAAAGGTGATGTTCTAAAGCAAATGAGAGGCCCGGAGTTATAGAGAATGGACAGATGTGTCTTATCGGTATCCTGACTCCCAGGTGGTGCAGTTAGTTCTCCTGGTGCCTCATAAGGGTAGAATTAATTTTTGCTCCTTAGATGGGCAAACTAAGAAGATGAATGGGTAAGAAGCAGAAGCCCACTGATCATTTAAAAACTACCTTTTAGGGGCGCCTGGGTGGCGCAGTCAGTTGAGCGTCCGACTTCAGCCAGGTCACGATCTCGTGGTCTGTGAGTTCGAGCCCCGCGTCAGGCTCTGGGCTGATGGCTCAGAGCCTGGAGCCTGTTTCCGATTCTGTGTCTCCCTCTCTCTCTGCCCCTCCCCCGTTCATGCTCTGTCTCTCTCTGTCCCAAAAATAAATAAACGTTGAAAAAAAAAATTTAAAAACTACCTTTTAGAAATAAAGCCCGAAATGTTTGCAGAGGAAATAAATTGATGTCCCCAAATTTCAAGATAGTCAGGGTAGGGCAAGCGGGTGGGTAGGGGCATAGAGGGAACAAGATTGGCTGTCAGTGGACCATTATTAAAGCAGCATAATAGATATCGGAGGGGTCATTTTTCTGGTCTCTCCACTTTTGTGCGCCTGAAGTGTTCCATAATAAAAAGTAAAACAAACAAACAAACAAACAAACAAACTCTGACACAGATATTACAAGGTTCAGTTTCAGGAAACTGCCCCAAGTTCACATGCCCAAGTACAGCCATGATAATCTGATGCTAAATCCAGAGGAAAATACACACACACACACACACACACACACACACAAACACACACACAGAGTTCTTTCCATCACACTCTTCTTCTTCCTCAACAGTAACAACACTGCAAAATTATAGATACTTTACGTTTTACAAGGGGACGTGACCTACACATATCACCTGAGTGGTCAGGGCAAGAGGCAGCCTGTTTTCCCATTCCCACCACACCTGGCGTGGCATCAAAGGGCAGAGTTTGTCTAGAAAATACGCATCTGGTTGTAAGAAACTGAATACACCAGTGGGCAATGGCCAGATCACATATGACAATAGACCTCTGGACAGAATTTCTGGACCAGGAAACCAGCATCTTATCTACAGTAACTGGCCGGGGAAGCCGGCCCACCAGAAGTCCAGTTGGTAGGAAGTCAGACCGTAATCTCTAGCAGAAGTCCAGAGAACCAATCGATAATCCCGGTGACCACCAACCCCAAATGGCCAGGGATAACTGACAGCTTCCCAAATTCTTGTCCTGCTTCCAACTTGGGACCAACCAGAGAAAGCCAAATATGCTCTCCTAACCAATCCCACAAGATGCCCACTGCTACTTAGCCTGCCCACAGCTTCCCTGGAGCCAGCAGCCTCTAGGCAGGGCACAACTAAAGCCTCCCAGTTTCCCCTGTAGAGCCTGCCCCCCTCCTCTGCACACCTTTAAGTCTCCGCCGAAATCCAAGTAGCAGTGACTGACTCCCTGGCTACTGCAAGCTTGGGATAGCTTTTGCCTGTTCCCATCTGGTCCTAGCTTATTTCCACAGTTGACTTAATAATAATAATAATAATAATAAAAATAATAAATGGGTTAATAAACCCAGCTACTCAGTGCCTACCTTCATTCCAACGAATTCATATGGAGGAGGAGGAAGCAAACTTTGGTCTTGTCTGGGTAGTCTTTTTTTCCTTATTCTTTGCGAACAAAAGCCCAACAGCCACCCTCAACTGTTCAGCTGAAGGGAGCTAGCCGGGAGACAGCCTGGAGGAAGCGCCGGTGACACTAATCTCTAAACCTGAAACCAGGGTGGAGCTCACCACTTCTACCCGAGCCCCTCACCAGGGATTCTTAGTTCATCTTTTCTGAGTCCTCTCGAACAGGCATTCTCATTTTAAGGGCTTCTTCTGGGCTGTGTAACATCTTAGCTCAGGACATTCCCATTTCACTGAAACAAAGCAAAACAAAACATAAAAAAAAAAAAAAAAAGCAACTCCTGGGGCGCCTGGGTGGCCCGGTCGGTTAAGCATCTGACTTAGCTCAGGTCATGATCTCGAGGTTCGTGAGTTTGAGCCCCACATCGGGGTCTGTGCTGACAGCTCAGAGCCTGGAGCCTGCTTCGGATTCTGTCTTCCTCTCTCTCTCTCTCTGCCCCTCCCCCACTCGTGCTCGCGCGCTCTCTCTCGCTTTCAAAAATAAATAAACATAGAAAAATTATTAAAAAAATATTGAACTCCCTGAAAACCCTCAGTGGATCTGCTAAGCAGTGGACTTCAGAGGGGGGTGGGGAGTGGGGAGGAGGAGAAAGGGAAAAGAAAGAAGAAAAGTTTGTTTTTTCTGAAACTCAGAAAACTCATCTTCCCACAGCGATGACCCAGGATGGATTGCTGCTTTGTTTTGAGGGAAGTAGTCCCCTTAAATGAAATTTCTTTCTTTTTTTTTTTTTTTTTTTAATTTTTTTTAACGTTTTATTTATTTTTGAGACAGGGAGAGACAGAGCATGAACAGGGGAGGGTCAGAGAGAGGGAGACACAGAATCTGAAACAGGCTCCAGGCTCTGAGCTGTCAGCACAGAGCCCGACGCAGGGCTCGAACTCACGGGCCGTGAGATCATGACCTGAGCCGAAGTCGGCCACTTAACCGACTGAGCCACCCAGGCGCCCCTCGAGTTTCAAAAACAGTAGGTGTGAAATGTTGCTACTGCAATGTTACAGATTGTTTGTAAATTATGAAGCGCCTGTATCTGGGACTGAAAACTGATCAGCCCTTCCCTCAAGGGTCCGACGGGGCGGAGGTGGTTTCTGGCCAGCGGAATGCAACAGAAAATCCCACAGTAAACCCGGGGCCTCATCCTGGAGGGGCGTTTTAACTCAGCACAAAAACTAATTCAGGGGGGAAAGCCTTAAATCAAACAAGGGGACGCCATTAAGGGGGAAATTTGGTGGAGGTTTTGGGGCCGGCGCTTGGATTTTTAAAGAAAATAGATCCCCAAATGTTGAAGGGGAGGCTGCTGGGCTGAAGGTAGCCTCCCACACTTCCGGGGACAGTGGCGCCGCGGTCCAGCCATTTGCCTTTAAGATAGATTGTGAGCGGTGCAGGGAAGCGGGTGGGTGGGTGACCAGCTCAGTTTGGGGCTAGTAGGAAAGTAGACGGAAGTTTTTCAACTTCCCAGACAGTGTTCTTCTTCCTGGGGTGATAGGGGGAGACAAGCGGGGACCTTTACTGAAATGAAATGTTAACTAGATAAATATGGTTATCGTGCCCTGGCCCAAGATTGCGGTCGGGATAAACTTTCAGAATTGGCTAAGAACTAATAATGATGATAATAATAAACCATTTTCAGTATACTTATCCTCTTGGAAGTGGTTTAATTGAAATCCCATCTTGCTGCTCTCATCAAGTTTATATATTCATTGTCTGGGGAGAGTCCACAGCTGCAAGTGTGCACGGACCACACTAGAGATGTGCCCTTGAATCTCCAGAGCCACACTCAGTGTTTGAAAGGTGTGGCTGGAACTCTGTTCCCGCCTGGCGTACCTAAGTACGGCCGTGCTCGAGCATTCAAGCTACAGTTTGTATCCATGTGTCTGCTGATTGTACCTTAGATGAACTTGAGAGTTTGCACTTTGGAGAAGTTACAAGCCCCTCTTCCTGTCTGAGAATAGGTGGAGAGGAGCTTGGGATCTCCCAGAAGGCAGGGCTGAGTTTCAATCCTGGCTCTACTACTTGTTAACTGTTTGACTATAGACAAGTTATTTAACCTCTCTGTTCTTCCATTTTCTTCTGCACAGTGAAGAGGCTAGTAATGGTGGGACCTACCCCAGAGGGTGTCCGGACCAATGTATGCAAAGTAGGTAGTGCATAGAAAGTGCTAAGCAAAGAATAGCTATCCTGTCTCTCTCTCTCTCTCTCTCTCTCTCTCTCTCTCTCTCTCTCTCTCTTTTTGCCTCTTTTGACCCTTCTCTAACAATTGATGAATGGTTCATAAAGTTGGCAAATGCTCCGATCAGCCCAGGAAAAAGGAACAGGGTATTCTAGGCAAGGAGTGAGGTCCCCAGAGTCCAAACAGGTGAACATGGCAAGCAGGTTGAGTGCCATGAGCAGCCAGCTGGGGTCTGCAACCCCAAGTGACCCTGACCCCCAGCAGAGAGCTACACAACAGTTAGCCGTCATCTTTTATTTACTCAAATACATTTACTCAAATACTGGTGAATTCAGCAGTTTAAATCCCCCTTTGTTAAACTCTGCTCCCACCATCTCCCTGGCATCTGATGGTGTAGGTGTCTCTGCTTGGTTCCACGACAGAAAGGAACTGAGTCACCACCACACACATCCAGATCGGGACCTTTCATCAGTAAGTCAACAAAGCATCCTTCAGATACCTTGACTTCTCCTCCTTCCCAAACAGGAGGCAGTAGTAACAGTAGAACGCTTTCTTCAAGTCAGTCATCCAGAACATAGAATCAAAGAAAGACAAGGAAAAAATTGGATAATAGAAAGGGGGTGTTAGGGGAGGTACCACTGGGGGCAGCCAGTCAAATGCTCCCCACTCAGTCGAAGGAATTAAGGACATGAAAGCCTTTGGCTCAGATGGGTGGTTCTTCAAGTGTTTACTGATGCCGAATCCGAAGGTCAATGGGGTGAAGAGGGGTCTTTCATGGATAACTACTCAGAAGTCTGATCAGTGCTTGGGTCCAAGGAATCAGAGGATTGGCAGATCATACAGGTTTTGAAGATCAAAACATAGGTTTCCTTGAACTTCTTTATTTTGTAAGCATAGACAATAGGGTTCATCATGGAGTTAGCATGGGAGAGCAAAATGCCCAAGTAAAGTATAATTTGCGGCACCTCACCATGGAAGTAGGTGATACAGTTGATGATGGATAAAGGCAGCCAGGACAAAGCAAACAGGAAGAGAACCAGAAACAGAGACTTGGCCGTCTTGAACTCCCGTCCGTAAAACGTGCCTGTCTCTTTGGAGCTCGAGAAGCTCTGATTGAGTTTGTTCCGGATGACATAGAATATGTCAAGATAGATGGCGCACATAATAACCAGGGGGATTAAAATCCACGTGAAGAAGCTGAAGTAGACCATGTAGTCCATCGTCATGACAGAACGGAACTGGCATGAAAGGGAGGTGACATTTCTGTAGTACTCGGAGGTCAGTTTCATGTTCCAGCCAAACATGGGGGTCAGTCCCACCAG